AACAGCAGCAGCAGAGGCTTGCTCCAGCTCCCTCTTAAAGCCCCCAAGGGCAAAGGTGGCTCGTTGCCAAGATTTTAGGCAAGCGGTGCATCCCATCTTGGATCTTGGCCAGAGAGCTGAGAAGCAAAGCATGCCCACCTGTTTATCAAAAACATTCCTTTATCCTCCTCCCCGGGAACTGGCCAGGCTCCCAAGGTGCAGGAGAAGGTCATCAGGCAGACAAGTTACTTGTTTACCAGAGCTGAACCTAGATACAAGCCTCTCCATCCTAAAAATTTGTCCTTACAATCTGCTACGCCACAATATGGTTTCTTTCTTTTTTTTCTTTTTTTTGACAGGCAGAGTGGACAGTGAGAGAGAGAGACAGAGAGAAAGGTCTTCCTTTGCCGTTGGTTCACCCTCCAATGGCCGCCGCGGCTGGCTGCGGCAAGCGCACCACGCTGATCCGATGGCAGGAGCCAGGTGCTTCTCCTGGTCTCCCATGGGGTGCAGGGCCCAAGGACTTGGGCCATCCTCCACTGCACTCCCTGGCCACAGCAGAGAGCTGGCCTGGAAGAGGGGCAACCGGGACAGAATCCGGCACCCTGACTGGGACTAGAACCCGGTGTGCTGGTGCCACAAGGCGGAGGATTAGCCTAGTGAGCCACGGCGCCGGCCAATATGGTTTCTTAAGTAACCAAATCAAGGCCTCTAAGAACACCTAACCCTAACATCCCTTACAAATGTAAATTTGATTGTAACTCTTCTTTGACTAAACGGTCAGTGGTGGCTAGTTCTTTCTATGCCCATGTCTTTAAATAGGAGGATCCTGTTTTCAATTAAATTACATGTATACCTCCAACACATAAGGCAAAGGTAAATGTGTATCCAATCTGATTGAAGCAGGGGCAGGTGCAAGACCAAGATCATTGTCTGCTCAGGCACATTTTTTTAGGCAGACCAAAATAGTCAAGGATTAAGGATTAATGATATGTTTCAGTAGAACTCAAACCTTCATATAAGTAGAATGATACGAAGGAAAGCAAGTATGTCAAATGTTGTTTGCGTGGATCACACTATGAATTTCTTATTGTTAATCCCATTTTACAGGTTAAAAGATGTGACTCAAAAAACATTAAGTAACATCCTCATGGCTCAAATGCGTGGGCCTCAACTTCTGAGATCATATTCTTCCAAAGCCTCCATTCTAGGCAAAGACACAAAGCTGATGCAATAGACAACAGTGGGAAAATGTAAGAAGGGCTGGGAAGAACGAAGACAGAGATTTATACTGTCTGGAGCTATGGCTCTTGAAAGAGATGGAAGTTGAAGTTCCTTGGCAACAATGTTCCAGGGAGCATGACTGGGAAGCCATGAATCTATAGACTGAAATCACACAAACCAGAAGTAAGCCTCCTAATGCAGGGTCCCTCCTTCCTTTCTGACCAGCCAGTGTCCCACTTCTTGTTTGAATAAATCAAATATTTTGACTACTGACTGTTAGAATAAGTCAAGCTCTTGTGTATCTCTGTGCCAGCCCATGTATTCTGTTTCCCTCACCAGGGTGGGGAATGTTCTGCCTATGGGCTGTGTAATCATGTGCTCTCTCCCCACCAAGGCAATTGCAAGTGGGACTCCAAACTCAGTAAATCTATAGAAGACTAATTTTTGTGTTGATAATTTTGTATAGCCCATAAATGATGCTGTAAATATCCTAATGGCCCTTGTCAGAAAGATTCCTTCACCCCCTGACTAATTCTCATCTTTCAAAGCCCATCTCTTCCAAGAGCCACACCTGTGGACAGTATGAGCTGTTGTCTTAGCCCCTCCCCCACCCTCTCCATACCTCCATGATTGCCTATTTCACTGACTTCATGTCTTTTTTTTAAGGTATATTTATTTATTATAAAGACAGAGTTAAAGACAGAGAGAGAGAGAGAGAGAGAGAGAGAGAGAGAGAAAGTCTTCCATCTGCTGGTTCACTCCCCAAATGGCTGCAACAGCCAGGGCTGGGCCAGGCTGATGCCAAGAGCAAGGACCTTCTTCTGGGTCTCACGCATGGGTGCAGGGGCCCAAGCATTTGAGCCTTCTTCCACTGCTTTCTCAGGAGCATTAGCAGGGAGCTGGATTGGAAGTGGAGCAGCTGGGACTTGAATTGACGCCCATATGGGATGCTGGTGCCACAGACAGCAGCTTTATTTGCTATGCCACAGCACCAGCCCTGACATCATGCCTTTATAAGAAAAGAAATTGGAAGAATATGGGTTTCATAATTAAGGCACCAGCTTTGAACATGGAAACATTATTTACTGTTTTGGGTTTTCAGATTTTTTAAAAAGATCTATGAAATGGGGTTTAGCACTGGCAAACTTATAGAGCTATTGCTGTAAGGTAATGCAAATAACGTGTTTGATGGAAGAGAGGTTGAGAATAAACTTCAGTTCCCTCCCTTTCCCTCATCATCTCAATATACCATTCCTAGGGATATGGAAGTATCCTAATCTTTGAATTCACAAAACCCTGCACACAGCAGGCACTCAGAAAATAAATTATACTACAGTATAGTATAAAAGAGGTTTCCACTGAGATCAATAGTTCTTTCATTATTGAACTAGTGATTTGTTAATGATAATAGGTCAATTAAATGTCATTTGCTAATCATTTGACATTGTGATTTTTGAAGTGGGCTCCACTGGAGGGAGGTGCATCATTTTGGTCAAATCTACAGATCTGGGCTTCAGTAGATCACAGTCTCAGCCAGGAAAGGCTTAGTCAGACAAGAACCACAGAAATCCACAGCACTCTGCTCTGACACAAGGAGGCGCTGTTAAGTAACTTCTCCAACAAGGGATGAACCAGACAGGCTCTGGTGTGACCTCTGGTGTTCCCACCCACTCATACTCACATACCAGCCTCATCTCTTCACTCTGTCCCTTGCATCCTGCTACTCTTCCAGGCAAAATACATTCAGGAAAGAAGCCTGGAGAGGCAGTTCGTGGGTTGGTTGATGAAAACGTCCTGCAGTTCATCTGGTCCAGTCTCCTCCGAAATGCAGCAGAGCTCTGGAGCCAGGACCAGAGCACTGATATCTGCCAATCTCAGCGCCGCCATGCAGGGAGCTTCCCACAGCTGCCCCTCTACCTGCCTGGCCCGGCCCGGCCTCTCAAGCTACTCCCTCGCTCTCAAGGCGTGAGCGGAGGGGAGACCTTTGCTTCCCCCCACTCATCAATTCACTGAATGCAGATTTTTGAGCATTGATAAAATGTCAGGTACTGCCAAGGGGGTTGGGATAAACAGTGAACCTTGAGATTCGATTCCCTCCAGCATGACGGGTACTGAAAAATACATGCAAACATGTGTCACAGGGAGAACAGGATACCAAGGAGAAAATAAGAAAATCGGGGTTGAAGAGAAGAGGCTCCTGAGCACGAGTGTAGGCACAGGCATCGGAAAAGACTGGAGGTTTCTCTCCCTGTGCAGGGATTCTTAAAGGGCGGTTGTGGGCATAGTGGACTTGAAGAATTGGGAGTGGAAGCAAAAGCTCTTTACATTTCACAGCAACCATCTGTTCCATGCAGTAGCAGCAACACCACCTGTCTAGACACAGCTGTGACGGCTCGGGAGGCTCAAGAGAGAAGGAGAGGCATGATGAATGTACATACTGACAACAAGGCAGGCAGGAGGGGTTGCCTTGCACTGTTTTCTGTCCAGCCAAGGTGGATGACTACAATTTTGTGATGTGTCAGCCTGCTAAGTTGTCTCTTTATTTCTACTTTTAATTTTTACTTTTTATAATTTTTATTTATTTATTTGAAAGTCAGAGTTACACAGAGAAAGAAGGAGAGGCAAAGCGAGAGTGAGAGAGAGAGAGAGAGGTCTTCCATCCGCTGGTTCACTCCCCAATTGGCCACGATGGCCAGAGCTGTGCCTATCCAAAGCCAGGAGCCAGGAGCTTCTGCTGGTCTCCTACATGGGTGCAGGGGCCCAAGGGCTTGGGCCATCTTCCACTGCTTTCCCAGGCCATAACAGAGAGCTGGATGGGAAGTGGAGCAGCCGAGACTCGAACCAGTGCCCATATGGGATGCTGGCACTGTAGGCAGCGGCTTTATCTGCTACACCACAGCACCAGCCCCAATTTTTATTTACTTTTAATCACTTTACTTGAAAGGGAAAGAGAAAGAGAAAGAGACATAGATAGGTGGACCGAGATCGTCTGTCATCCGGTTCGTTTCCCAGATGCCTTCCAAAAGAGTAAGTTAAGCCAGATGGAAGCCAGGGGCATGGAACTGAATCCAGACCTCCCACATGGGTGGTGGGGACCCAGCTCTATGAGCCATCATCTGCTACCTCTCCAGATGCGCATTAGCAGGAGGCTGTGGTTGGAAGTGGCTGCCCCAAGCAGCATCCTGTCTGCTTTGCCAGTTGCCCACTGCTGTTTTTATTTTTATAGCAAGTAGGCAATGTAGGGAGGATTTGGCAGGGATGGGATTTTGTTAGTTAAGTGCATTAACAGCCATTGGGGTAAGGAAGTTTATAATATTGATGGAAGAGTAGTTGAAATGATGGAATAAGCATCTCCTTTGCCCTGTCTAGCTACCAGTTTCTGCCTCAGTAAGCGGTGTGTGTAAGCAGAGGCATGAAACCCTTCCCATTTGGGTCTTCCTACCATGCCATATTGGTTAATGTTGCAGTCACTCCGGTTTCTAAAGCAAATACACTGAAGCCCTGGTAGCAGCCCCGGTGTGCTTATATTACCAGCTGATTGTTGGTGAAATTTACACAAACACTATCTGCACACTGGGTTGTCACAGCACTTATGGTTTTGGATGTTCATCCCATCTTGCTTTGCATTCCTCCAGAAACCCTAGTTCCAATCCCCACACTGCATCATTGTAAATGCCCTTGTAAATCATGATCTTATCTTTATGGAAGGACTTCCAGCATTTATAGAGGGGAGGGATGCTCTGGGGAGATACTCATGAAGATTGGTGGTGACCCAGAGTGACAGAGTGACCGAGTGACAGAGCCACCGGAATGTGGGAGGCTATCATCACCACCGCCTGACAGGGAAGCAGATTTCATATCTTCGGTGGCTCATTCTCTTGAGTTGGGTGCAGAATATGTATAAAAGGCTTCAGCTCACAGGGTCTCCTTAGCTCCACTGCTTGCCCAAGGTTAGGAGGACAAGGTGAGTGTGCTGACTGACCTGTCGGCAGCTTGGGGGTGGCTGGGACTGCCACTTCTCTTCTCAATGGATCAAGTCATTCCGGGATGGAGAGAATGAGATCTAACTGGTAATTCCATGAAGACCAGGCTCATGGAAATCATCAAGGTGTTGAAAAACTGATGCCCTGGAAGGGGTGAAAGTCAGCCAGAGGCTGGTGCGGGGGGGGGGGGGGGGCTGGATTGTAGGACAAGAGGCTGCCACTCAGGACTAAAGGCACAGTCCATGAGGCAAGAAAGAAAAATAAAAGCAGGTGATGAAGAGAGATGATAGAACCGTCAACTTGGGCTAAATCTGTGGCTTCTGGAATGCATAAATTAGGGGACTGGACAGAAAGTGTTTTAAGATTGTTGAAACTATCGGGTTCTGCGTGCTGTTGCTTTTGAAATCAGGAGTCCTGGGAGAAACAGGACAGGCTGGAGATGGCGCTACCACATTCTCACTTACGCACAGCTGGTTCTCCACGCCAGGGGAACAGGGCTTCTCTTCTGTAAGGATTCAGCCTCTGCAGCCACAGATTTGATTGCAGCATTCCAGGCTTTGTAGAAAAATATTGATGGAAATGAGGCCTGTACTCGCGGGGCTTTCAAGATACCTGCATTGTTTTCCAGGGTGGCTGAACTGTCTCCAAGATGTCCTGCCAGCAAAACCAGCAGAGGTGCCAGCTGCCGGCCAACCCCCTCCCCAAATGTCCACCCAAGTGCCCCCCGCAGGCCCCTCAGGCTCCTGCCTCATGCCCAGCTCCGCGCCCCACTCCGGCCTCGTCCTGCTCTGCTCCCAGTTGCTGTCTCGCCCCCAGTTGCTGTCTCTCTGGCCGCCGGTTTCCAAGTCTCCACCCTCGCCAGCCCCAGCCATCCAGCTGCTGTGAGAGCGAGTCCTCTGGGTGTTTCAGCTGTTTCCACCACTCCGGGGGCTGCCGCTGACCTGCAACCAGTGAGGAACCAAAGAGCTGTGGCCAAGGACCAGCCTTGAACCCGTGCCTTTTCTCTTGCCTTTCTTCTCCCCTCTCTTATGGTACCAGCCGTGGAGATGATGGAGATGATGGCTTCCCCTTTCTGCTGAGCGTCTCAGGCCTCCCCAGCCTTTTCTCTGCTTCCAAGTCAAGATCCTGAATGTAAGAGAAGAACGGATTCCCAAAGCCTTCCCTGCAACAGAAATAAAGCCTGTCTTTCCTGGAGCCCTGCCCTTCTTGGTGTTTGCTGATTCCTCATCCCCTGCTCGGCATAGCTCACATTCCCCTGGATTCTCTCAGCAGACCCCTGGCATGGGCCACCTCGGGGGGGGGGGGGAATGCCAGCCAAGTAGACTCGGGGCAGGGGGGGAGCATACAAGAGGGCCAGGAGAAAGAAGCCCCCAGAACAAAGTACGAGGGGTTTCCAAGATGCAAGTGAGCCTGCTGTGCTGGTGGTGCCACTGCTGCCATCGCGGGCTTTGCCTCTGCTCGCCAGGGCCTTCTGCTTCCCTCCGCCTTCTTACTCAGGAGACCGGAACGCTGCAGAAGGAGGAGGAACAGGGGGACTTGTAGCGCTCAGATTTCAGTTATACAAGGCATGGGAAACATCTTTCTTGAGCACACCCCTTTGACTGTCCCTCCCCCCACCTCTGCACCCAGGAGCGGGAGCAGGTGGGTCTGTACATTAACCAGGTCAGCACGACGTGGAGAGACACAGTGGCCTTGGTGCTGCTGCTTGCCCTTTGTGATTCTTCCTTCGTCTGCCCACCAGAGCCCCTTGCAGGGATCTGAGACATGTTCTCAAAGCACTGGGCCATGGGCAACAGCAACGCTTCTGCTCATCCTCTATGGGTGGCAATTTAAATATTTTTATACATCTTTTTTTTTAATTTACTTTAAAGGGAGAGGGAGTGGGAGAGAGGGAGCGAGAGAGAGAGATAAAGAGAAAGGACATTTCCATCTGCTGGTTCATTCCCCATATGCCCACAGCAGCCAGGGCTGGACCAGGACAAAGCCAGGGGCTTAGAACTCAGTGTGATCTCCCCAGCGGGTGGCAGGGGCCCAAGTACCCCAGTCATTATCTGCTGCCTCCTAGGGTGTGCATTAGCAGGAAGCTGGAACCAGGGGCAGAGCCAGGACTCAAGCCAAAGCGCGCTCCAATATGGGATGTGGGTGCCCCAAGAGATGTCTTAACTGCTATGGCAATGCCTGCCCCTGGGCTCAGGTTCTTAACCAGACTATTGAGACACGCTGGGCTCAACAGCTCTGCCAGACACAAAGGGGCAGAACCTCAGGAACTGCACATAACCCACAGCGATTAAAACACCTGGCTTTGTGGAGTGGCGAGTGCCGCACACAGGAGGGATGGACTAGCGGACGGGAGATGGACGATTGGTACTCCTGGCCATTTCCTTCCCCATTTTCTTTCTGACTGCCATGACTGGCCAGGGGCTCCAGAGCACTGAGGGCTTTGGGAATGAGGATGGGGCAGACTCGGCTGCACTCCCTGACAGCCCAATATCCAGCATAAGGAATAAGCTTCCGGATCAACGTTTTCAGCCAGTGGAAAAGGGAAAAGCAGGGTTGCAGAAAGGAGGTATCTCAGGGCTCGCTGAGATTTCTGTGTGTGTGTGCATGTGTGCACATGTGTGTGCATGTGTGCATGTGTGGTTAAATACTGTGATATATTCAGCATGTTTATTAACAAATAGAAAATACCATGAGATAAATGACTACACCTTGGAGGTCACCCAGCTCCTCAGGATAATCTGGGATAGGAGTCTAACCCACAGATGCAGAGCAATCATTTTATAACATCTCAGTGTACATTTTCAACAGAAAACCATATTTATTGATTTAAGGGGAAATATCCTTGTTCTCTACATTCAAGCCTCACTCTCAGTATCTTCCATCTCCAACGTGCTCCTTACCACTGGAGAAAGAATGAATCATCTGATAGCTGACATGCCTCCTTTTTCAAATATTGACATTAACGTGATAGAAAAAGAGGCTGACGTTGGAAACTGAGCCTTTGAAACTACAGCAAAGAAACAGCAAGCCTTGACAAGTGGGAGAGACGGGAGAGCCGGTGCTAGGGCTGGGGCTGGGGCTGGGGCCCCGGGGTGGCCTGGTGCACACTTCGCAGAGCTCTGATACCCATCTGCATAGTGGTGATTACAGTCTCACCGGTGCTGCCCAACCTGGGAAAATCCAGCAGCAGAGTGGGTTCTGAGACTAACACTGAGATTGCAACTGCCATCTGCATCCATGACTGATCTATGTTCATCAAAATAGCCCAGGTGTTCTCAGCTGATGAGTTGATATAAATTTCAGTGTGAAAGGTAAATGTGCAGATAAACTCTACTCTGCTTTATTTGTGAAGGCAGTTCAAAAGTTCATGGGAAATGGAATTAAAAATATGAGTTTATTTTGATGTAAAACATTTTGGTGCAAATATTTTTTCATAATACATGGAAAACACGCATTTAAAAAAAACTACGCATGGGTTTCAAAATTTATTTCACACCAAATTAAATCGACACCTTTAATTCCGTTTTCCAAGAATGGTTAAAAACTATTTACTTTCATTTTATTTAAAAGGCAGACACACTCACACACAGAGCGCTCATCATATGTTTGTTCACTCCTCAAATGCCTGTGACAGCCAGGGCTGGGCTAGGCTGAAGCCAGGAGCCTGGAACCAAATCTGAGTCCTCCACATGGGTAGCAGGTAAACAAGCACTTGAGCCATCATCTGCCGCCTGCTGGTAAGAAAGCTGCATCAGAAACAGAGGAGCTGGGGTTGGAATCAGGCGATCCGGAGTGGGATGTGGGAGTCTTAAGTGATAACGTAACTGGGAGGGAAGTGTGGTCATCTTCTTAGAACTATACCTAGGGATGCCTGAATCTGTTCTCTTTATACTAAAAATTTTTTAAAAAGCAATAAACCAAATGCTTGCCCTGGAAAAAAACCTTTTTGAGGTGCCCTCATATAATGGCCCCAGGGCAATATTTATTGAGAAATGTTGCAGTTATTAAAGTATTTGAAAGCTCTCATAATATAATCTTACGCTACGTCAACGGATATTCTATACAATAATTATGTGACTGTTCTTCATGAATGTTGTAAATATGTGTCATTCTCATGTAAATCACATGTATTATTTTTATTCACAGCACATAATCCGCATCTAAGAAAAAATATGCCTGATCAGATACACCCAGGAAGTAACCTACAAGTCATCTACCCTACCCTGGAGCACATGACCTTTATCCTGGGCGCGAATTCCACCTGAAAAATATCCAATTAATTTTTGTCTTCACAGGGCCAGTGTTACACTGTAGCAGGTTGGGCCATCACTTGTGATGCTGGCATTCTATACTGTAGTGCTGGTTCCAGTCCTGGCTGCTCAGCTTCCAATCTGGCTTCCTACTGATATGCTTGGAAGGGCAGTAGAAGATGACTTGATTGTTAGGACCACAGCCACCCATGTGGGAGACCTAGACAGAGTTCCGGGCTCTTGGCTTTAGCCTGGCCCAGATCTGGTTGTTGTGGTTATTTCGGGAGTGAACCAGCAGATGAAAGACCTCTCTCTCTCTCTCTCTCTCTCTCTCTGTCTTCCTCTGTGCCACTCTGCCTTTCAAATAACTAAAAACAAATAAATATTTAAAAATATATTTGCTTTCATATATATTGACTAGTGGGACAAAAACTCATCAGTGTTTTTTATCTTATTTTTCAACATCATAATGCATACCTGAGATACTATTAAATACAATTATGTTATCAGATGTATACATTTTACTAGACAAAGATATCCCCTTTTATCTCTTACTGAAAACATAAATTTGTGAGACTTTAATTTTTTCCTCAACCTTAATGTAAGGAAACATTATTCAAATTTCTTTAGCAAAATTCATTGTATTCCTTCCATTATTAGATTAAGAAACACCTATGCTCTATTCAAATAATTTTGGGAAAGGTAGCTCTAGAACAATGTTATTCAACCCCCTATTAGCTAACAATACATGTACACACGTTGATTAATGGATTCTCTACACAAATTATAATTTAATTTAAAGTACAATACTATAAGTAACAAAAATAAAAGTATGAAGAGATAATATTTAGAACTACTTCCTCTTTGAGTCATATTTGTCAGCTTCCAGTATTGTGTAGAGTCTTCTATGGAGACCAGAGCTGTTTTAGATGAAAATGGAGCAAAAATTACCAGGGCCAAACCCTCTGCAGACCCCAGGGGCCAATAAGCCATGTGGTTGATGCAGTATCAGGTGTGGATATCCTCCAGACGACACGAGGGCAGTGGTGGAAAGTCCACTGGATGAGGGACTCTCACCGTCAACCTAGCAGTGCTCCTCTTCCAATCCAGCTCTCTGTTGTGGCCTGGGAAAGCAGCAGAAGGTGGTTCAAGTCCTTGGGCCCCTGCACCTGCGTGGGAGACCCGGAAGAAGCTCCTGGCTCCTGGTTTCAGATTGGCCCAGCTCTGGCCATTGTGGCCATTTGGGGAGTGAACCAGTGGTTGGAAGACCAACCTCTCTGTCTGTCCCTGTCTCTCTGTGTAACTCTATCTACCACAAGTAAATTAAAAAAAAAAAAAAGCAGTGTGGCATTGAACACTTTTTTGAACTTCATCTTAGACTTTTGAAAGTAGAAACAACCTCAACAACAACAATACATGCTAAGTTGTTCTGAAGGTTAAGAGAAATAATATATTTGAACATAGTTTGCAAATTATAAAATACTGTATGAAATGTTTACATCCAATAAATTACAGGACTCACTGATTTCTTGTGCATTGATTCCATTTCCTATTGATCTCTTGGCTTTTGCTTCATGTATTGATGTTCACATCTGACATTCATTCTCTGTCATTCATCTGCTTTATTCTTCATTTCTAACTCATCTCTTTTCTCTCTGTGTTAGTCTTCTTCACTGCCTATATCTCACTGCTTGTTAACTCAGTGCCAGCACACTTCTAAGACCTTAACATCTTCTCCCTCAATCTCTACAAGGATGGTATACAAGAGCATTGTGTCCATGTTCCTTGTACAAACCAGGAATCTGAGGTTAAGAATGTGTTCAGGGTTACAGAGCTGTTAAACTAAAGCACTGAGCCTGAGTTTACATTATCTGCCGCAGTTGGTCCACTCAGAAGATGGAAACCGGAGCTGGCATTGTGGCATAAAAGTTAAGCTGCCACCTGCACTGCTGGCATCCCATTTGGTTGCTGGTTGGAGCCCTGGCTGCTCCACTCCGGATCCAACTCCCTGCTAATGTGCCTGGGAAATCAGTGGAAGAGGGCCCAAGTGCTTGGGCCCCTGCTACTCATGTGAGAGACCCAGAAGAAGCTCCCAGCTCCTGGCCCAGTCCTGGACATTGTGGCCATCTGGGGAGTAAATCAGCAGATGGAGGGTCTGTCTCTCTCTATCTCTACCTTTCTCTCTGAAACTCTGCCTTTCAAATAAATAAATAAATCTTTGAAAAAAGAAGATGGAAACCAGGGGATATGTTCAACAGAGGAAGCTCAATATATTAATATACATTGAATAATTAATATATAAGAAGGAATTACTATGATGCATAATTAATATAATACATAATTATCAATAATAAAAGACTAATGTAATATAGAAGGAAAAGGCGGAGGGAGGGAGATTAGTGAGGACTAACTTGGAGTGGGTTCTTACCTCATTGGTGGTTCAGCCACCGGTGAGCAGGGTTCTCTGGTCTGGTTAGACCAGGGAAGCTCTGGAGGCACTAGGAAGGCAATAGGCCACTTTCCCAAGGGCAAGGCAGGAAGCAGCTGAACCACGGTGCCTTGGGTGTGGACTGGGAGCCCATGCAGCAGCGGGGACTGAAGGCCTGCAGAGCACATGGGCCGCAAGGAGGCTTGGAGCGGAGTCGCAGTTCTGTGTGCACAGTCCCCACTGCCACCTTCCACACGGGTAGACAAGCCATGCGCTGCTCAGGCCATGCATGGGCTTTGGTCTCGGCGCTGGAGAGCTGTGCCAGGGCCATTCTCATGCAGAAGCTACACAGACGTGGAGGCATCGGGCTGAGGCTGGCGCCACACGCTCACCTGTACCTGCTTGCCTCGCCTCTCTTCCTCTTGCAGGGACTCCTGCAGCGTCCTCTGTGTAGAACTCCTAGCATGGTCTTCACCCTAAAGGAGGACTCCCATTGCTTATGGCGGGGAATATAGATATATATAGATAGTCTCTCAGTTTGAAGATGTGACACATGAATTAATAATTGATTTTCTCTCTTTCTCATAAACACACACACACACAGTGCCACCAATACTTTTGAAATTCATTTTTCAGGTAAATCAACTAAAAAGGAATGGTAATTTTTGTTTTAGGACTCTTAAGGTTGGCAGCCATTAGGAGTCCACAAAGTTAAGCATTAAACTAAACTTTGCAGCACTAGCCATTGTTTGGGGAGTAAACCAGCAGATGGAAGATCACTCTCACTTTCTTCAAAGTCTCTCTCTCTCTCTCTGCTTTTCAAATAAATAAGATAAATCTTTAAAACAAAGAAAAAAAGCCTTTTCACTTCATATTAAGATGAGTCCTTAAAGAATTAAAATATTACAAATTATTTTTATAAAACTGAGTATATTGTATAATTTCAAAGTTGAAATCAACTTTATAATTATGATACAAATGAAAACTGCAAAAGGAAATATTTTAAAATGTGTTTCCATAAAATTGACATTTTCTCTATGGCTAATATCTAACCACTCTAAAAGCCAAAAAAATACACTGGAAGAAAGTTTGTATCTCAAGTTTGCCTAATTTCCCCCAATAGAGCATCACAAATCAACACTAAAATGACCAGCAAAATCCTATTAAACGTTGGATAAATTATATGACCAGGCAGTTCCCAGAAAATGAAATAACATGGTTCTCTAAATAAAATATAATCAAATTTACTTCCTAAGAGAAATTCAGATTAAAATTACTTTGAGGTACTATTTTTAACCCATAATACTGTCAGAAAATAGCGAATTTAGTAACACAATGTGTTGATAAGTTTGTGGAGAAACATGGTCTCCCACATGTGAGAAGTGAAGTAAATCATTGAAACTTCCATGGAAGAAATGTAGAATGTTGTTCAGATACAATATTAGGTAGCCTTTGAGTTGGTGAGATTGAACTTGGGTTCTCCCTATACTCCCAGAGAAATGATCTACGAATAATGTACTCACTACAGCATTGTTTGGAAGAATCAAATTTGGGAACTCACATATATTGACAGATATATGTTATATATATATATGTGTGTGTGTGTGTGTGTGTGTGTATGGTTTATATTTTCTTCACAGAAGAAAAAGCATAAAGGTTTGTATGTGCTTTCATGTGTATAAAATATGGCTGAAATGATATATATAAATTGATCCCTATTGTCTGTAAGAACTGGAGTAACGGGGTAGAAATCTCACTATGTATCCTTCCTAACTTTTGATTTTGGGACCAAGTGAACATATAATAATGAGAGTTATTGGTAATTTAAAGGAAACCTGATGGGAGCAGAGTCTCAGGGGCTGGGGCCCAGGACTGGGCCATCATAAACAGCGACTCCTTTAGTATTTATATTAGCTAATTCTTGCGATGTTGCCTCAGTTTCCCTGCCACCAATGAACGTGGCAACCAGGGAAGGCAACCATAATCTCTGCCAACTTTCATAACAGAAACAGGAAAACCATAAAGCGGTGGGAGCAGGGCTGCTGCAGAACATGAACTGTTAGTCTGGACGGTGCATGAAAAACAGATTTTTTTTTTTTTATTTGACAGGTAGAGTTACAGACAGTGAGAGAGAGAGAGAAAGGTCTTCCTTCTGTTGGTTCACTCCCCAAATGGCTGCTATGGCCAGCGCTGCGCCGATCTGAAGCCAGGAGCCAGGTGCTTCCTCCTGGTCTCCCATGCGGGTGCAGGGGCCCAAGCACCTGGGCCATTCTCCACTGCACTCCTGGGCCATAGCAGAGAGCTGCAGTTGAAGAGGAGCAACTGGGACCAGAACCCGGTATCCATATGGGATGCCGGCGCTGCAGGTGGAGGATTAACCTAGTGAGCCATGGTGCCAGCCCGATAAAACAGATTTTAAAGCTGGGTTCCCAGCCTGGACAAGCAAGTGAGTTTGGGAATTGTTGACAAAAAAATCATTTTTCAACAAAACAAAACAAAAACAAGCAGTAGCTATCTCCATTCAAGCAATCAGTTAACTTTTATTTTTAGTATCTACTGTATCTCAGGAGCTGTTGCAAGAGCTTGAGATATGTTAGTAAACAACAGCAACAACAACAAAAACACTTTGCTTTTCCAGACATGACACTTAAAAATTTTATTTCACTTTCTGTCCTTAGATTTTTAGCTCCATCATCAACAGAGAGAGATGAGTAAAGCCCCATCTCTGACGGCTGCTCAGGAGGTCTCCACCAAGCCTGGCCTCGGTAGGCAGGAGCCTGCCTGAGTATGCTGGTTCCATATGGCTGCTGTGACAAAAGTATCACCAACTGCATGTCTCGAAATAAGAGAAATACATTCTCTCGCAGTTCTGGAGGACAAAAGTGAGAAATCAAGATGCTGAGAAGTCATTACGCTTCTCTAGCCTCCCCAGGACAATCCTCCCATTTTGCCTCCTCCAGCCTCTGGAAGCCCTAGGAGTTGGCTTATGGCAACCCAACTCCAACACCTGCCTCCATTTGCACTCCAGTAATGGTTCCCTTAATCCTTTTATTTAATTTTTAAAATTGACACATAATAATTATATATATGTATGGGTACCAGATGGTATTTCTGTACATGTATACATTGTATAATGCTCAAATCAACTTAAGCCTTCACAATCTCCTCAAGCATTTGTTATTTCTTGGGTTTTTTGTTTGTTTGTTTTAAGGATTTATTTATTTTACTTGAAAGGGGGAGTTGCAGAGAGAGAGAGAGAGAGAGATCTTCCATCTGCTGGTTCACTCACCAGAAGGTTGCAACAACTAGGGGTAGGCAGGCCAAAGCCAGGAACCTGGAACTCCATGTGTTTCTTCCACATGTGTGGCAAGGGCCATCTTATCCTGCTCTTCCAGGCACATTATCAGGAAGCTGGATTGGAAGCAGAGCAGATGGTGCTCCAACCAGCACTTATATGGGATTCTGGCTGGCAGGCCACAGCTTAACCCACTACACTACATTGCCAGTTCCATGTCATTTCTTTGTGATGAAAACATTCAAGATATTTTCTTCTAGCTTTTCCAAAATACATAGTACATTATCTTAATCACAGTACATTATCTTAATCAAAATTCCCCCTGCTGTGCTATAGAACATCAGAACTTACTTCTCAAAGGTATTACGTAGTACTGTTGACCAGTGTTTTCCCTTGGTCCCTCCTTTGCACTCCCCCCAGCCTCTGGTAATCATTATTCTACTCCCAACTCCTGTGAGGTCAATATTGTTAAGTTCCACATGTGAGTGAGATCATGAGTTATTTGTGCTTCTATGCCTGACTTGTTTCTCTTATCATGATGACCTCCAAGTTGATCCCTGCTGTCTCAAATGATAGAATTTCTTTCATTTTTCCAGTTGAATGGTATTCCTTTGTGTACTTATATCACTTTTTATTTATTCATTCATCAGTTGATGGACACTTAGGTTGGTTCCCTTTCTTGGCTGTTGTGAATAGTGCTGCAACAAACATGGGAGTCCAGAAGTCTCCTTGACACACTAGCTTAAATTCCTTTGGGTATTTACCCAGTAGTGGGGTTACTGGATCACATGGTATTTCTTATTGTAACTTTTTAGGGACCGTTCCTACTATTTTGTACTTATTTACTTACTCACCAAGAGTGTATAAATATCCCTTTTTATAGTTTTAAGTCTCACATCTAAGTCTTTCATTTTGCATTGATTTTGTAAATTGGGAGAAATAAGGGTCTAGTTTCGTTCTTCTGCCTTTGGACCTTCAATGAGTCCAATACTATTTCTCCTCAGTGTGTGTCCTTAGCATTTTTCTCAAAGATCAAGTTGCTGTAGATGTTGGTTTAGTCCTGTGGTCTCTATTTTGTTCCATTGGTCAATGTGTGTTTTTAACCAATGTTATGGTTTCCTGGCTAGTTTATACTTGAAGTATATTTTGAGACCAGGTACTATCATTTTCCTGCTTTGTTATTTTCACTCAAGGTTATTTTGGCCTTTTAGTATTTTTTGTAGCTCCATATGAATTTTAGGATTCTTTCAAATAATTCTGTTAAGAATGTCATTGATATTTTGATAGAGATGACATTAAATCTGTAGATAATTTTTGATGCTATGGACACTTTAATAATATTGATTTTTCCAATCTGTGAATCTTTCAATTTAAATTCACAAGTGTTTTATAGCTTTCATTGTAGAGATAGCTTACCTCTTTGGTGACCTTCATCCATTGGTTTTTGTAGCTATTGGAAATGAGATTTAATTTTTTTCTTTTTCAGGTAGTTCACTATTGTATGGAAATGTGATTTACTTTTTTGTATGTTGATTTTGTATCTTGATATTTTGCTGAATTTTCTTACTAATTCAAATAGATCTTTGTTGGAATACTCAGGATTTACTATTTATATAATATTATGTCATCACAAACAGTGGCAATTTGACTTCCTACTTTCTAATTTGAATGCCCTTTATTTCTTTCTCTTATCTCATTGCTCTGGCTAGAACTTCCAGTAGTATGTTGAATGCAAATGGTTGAAAGTGAGCATTCTGACATCCCTTTTGAAGAGTGATAACCTGAATATTTGCTCTTTTAATGCTAATTCAAAATTCCCATCCCTCCTCTGTGTATTTTCTTTTTTTTTTTTTTTATTTGACAGATAGAATTAGACAGTGAGAGAGAGACAGAGAGAAAGGTCTTCCTTCTGTTGGTTCACTCCCCAAATGGCCGCTACGGCTGGAACTATGCCGATCCAAAGCCAGGAGCCAGGTGTTTCCTCCTGGTCTCCCATGCGGGTGCAGGGGCCCAAGCACTTGGGCCATCTTCCACTGCCTTCCCGGGCCACAGCAGAGAGCGGGACTGGAAGAGGAGCAACCAGGACTCAAACCGGTGCCCATATAGGATGCCGGTACCACAGGCAGAGGATTAACCAAGTGAGCCACGGCACCGGCCCCATCCTCTGTGTATTTTCAAATAGTCTGTCTTTAAGCTCACTGATTCTTCTATTTGTTCTATTCTACTATTGATGCCTTCTACCACATTTTTCATTTTGCTAAGTATACTTTTTAGCTCAATGGTTTGTTTGATTTTTTTAAATAATTACTTCAGCGTGTTAAATTTCTCTGATAAAACAAGAAATTGCTCCTCTGTGTTTTCTTGACATTTATTGGGTTTCCTTAAAACAGCTATTTTTAAATTGTCTAGATGAGAATTAACACATATTATTTGCTATATGGTTGTTCTGATTCCTTATTTGGTCTGTTGGCTGAGGTCATGGTTTCCTGAAAATTCTTGATGTGTATTAGTATACAACAGCTGCACATTGAAAAATTGGGTATTTATTCTGTTCTGTGTAATCTGGCTTTTTTGTGTCTGTATTTACAGAAATTCTAAAGTGCCTGCTCATGAAGTTATTTCAAAAAATGCATAGAAAAGTGGAATTAAAAATAAGTTTATTTTCATTCAAAATATTTGAAATTCTTGCACAGGTGTTAGTAATATATGTTTTTGCAGACCTCATACTTTCTCCAAGGCTATGGCTACTGCTATTATTTTGGTTCTAACGCCGATGAATCCATACCTGATGTGTTGCTTTGATTCCAGGCCCAAGTTTATCTCAAATCTGCAGTTGGTGTGCTGTTCAGAATGGACTTCAAAGAGGTGCAGGCCTAAAAAGATAGACTGGGATGCCAGCGCTATGGCAAAGTAGGTTAAGCTTCTGCATGTGCTGGCATACTATATGGGCACCAGTTGGAGTCCTGGCGGCTCCACTTCTGATCCAGCTCCTTGCTAGTGGTCTGGGAAAGCTGTAGAAGATGGACCAAGTGTTTGGGCCCCTGAACCCATGTGGGAGATCTGGAAGAAGCACCAGGCTCCTGGCTTCAAATAATCTAGGCCATTTGTGGAGTGAACCAGTGGTTGGGAAGACCTCTTTCTCTGTCTCTCCCTCTCTCTCTCTCTGTGACTCTACCTCTCAAATTGAAAAAAAAAATCTTTAAAAACAAATGAATAAAATAAAAAGACAGACTCTTCCTGCTTGTGTCTGCCTGGGGCCAGGGCAGGCCTTGATGTCTCATTCATAGTCACCAGCCTCTGTTCAGGTGCTAGAGCATTTCTCTCAATACCAGCCTTCACCATGGAGGAACTGGCCCCAAGCATTTGACAGCAATTTGGTGTCTCCCTCCCTCTTATTTCCCCAAGAAGACAATGACTCTGTGTTATTCTGTCTGAGCTTGGGAAAGGGACAAGGTGGGCAGTTCCACAGGTACCAGTGCCACAATCCTGGTCACACCCAGAGCCCAGAGACCTCCAGCATCAGTGCAGCACGGTGGCAGGACCAAGGCCCTCATTTGTATGGCCTGCCTGCTGTGATGGTGGGGAAATTGTGATCCAAGACCACTGCAGGCAGCCACAGGTGATTCTGGCTGGAATATAGTTTTGTTCAACCAGAGCTGCAGGTCTCTGCTAGGGACCAGGACATGTTCACAGAGACCAGTGGAATCCCCTTGGTGTTTCATTTCGATGACCCAGTACTAAATTCCATCTCACTTCTTAGCAGATGGAATCTTTCTCCATACTCTGCTGTCTGATGTTGGGGAAAGGGTTGTGGATGAAGCACCTGCCCAGGCTAACGAGGGTACAGAGGTTCAAACTGGGTGCATGGGCCTCAAGGTAGGCTCTACAGGGCTCTCTCTACTATTGGATTTCAGTGTGGCAGGAAGGGAACTGGGTTGCAAGTCTGAGGTATGGAATTAATGTCTTCTCCCTCCTGCTTACTCTCCATACTCTGCTTTTTGGAATTGAAAAAGCAGGGCAGTGATGTGGGCAATCCTGCCAAGTCTGCCTTTTTCAACACATCCTTTCCTTTGTTTTTTAAATGTATTTATTTAATTAAATAAATAAATAAACAGTGAGAGAGACAGAGAGAAAGGTCTTCCTTCCATTGGTTCACTCCCCAAATGGCCGCCATGGCCTATGCTGTGCTGATCCGAAGCCAGGAGCCAGGTGCTTCCTCCTGGTCTCCCATGTGGGTGCAGGGGCCCAAGCACTTGGGCCATCCTCCACTGCCCTCCCAGGCCACAGCAGAGAGCAGGACTGGAAGAGGAGCAACCGGGACTAGAACCCAGTGCCTATATGGGATGCTGGCGCCGCAGGTGGAGGATTAACCAAGTGAGCCATGGCACCAGCCTCAACGCACCCTTTCTTATGATTATGTAAGACCCAGGAATTGTGATCTCTTCCCTGATTGCTTTAGTGCATGAAATGCATTCACATTGATGTATCTGTGGGGTAACTATGGCTGGAGGATCTTATTCTTCTGCACCCCTGGAGATGACATTTTAATTCAAGAACAAAGACAATACACAAAGATATAGAAAATAAAGACATTATACTGTGCATATATGTGAAATTACTCCCAAAGGAAAACAAAATGGGTCTGTATAAAGATAATTAAAGTGGAAAACAAAGGGGAAGATTATCATTTTAATTGGGAAGATGGGGGGGTACCTCATTGAGAAAGTAATATCTAAGTAAGGACTTGAAGTAGGGAGGGAGTTAGTCATGGGGATATCTTGGAGAAGACAGACCAGCAGCACAAAGGGCCCTGGGTGGTGTATGTGTATTTATGTATGCAGTGTGTGTATCTGTTAGGTAGGAAGTCAGAAATTGAGCCTATTTGTGTATGAGAAGGGCCTGAAGACCCACACCTACTGTGGAAGCTCCAGAAGCCCAGCACCTTGCACTTCAAAGTCCTGCCCAGACCCTGATGACCTCCCAGGTGGCCCCAGCCCTTCCCCAAGGAAAGCTCCCAGGGGAATTCTCTCTCCTCAGGACCAAAGGGGTTACCTGACAACATGGGGCAATAAAACCTTCTCAGATGCCCTAAGGGAAGCCCCCCCTACTCTGCCCAGGCCTTAAAACCTAGGGAGTGCAAACATACTATGTACTCAGCCCTCTGCCTCTCTGCTGAGCCACCCGCCTGGCCTGCCCAGGTGTATTCTCTCCACTCAACCATGTAACCTCGCTCTCCCGCAGAGAGAGTGACTGGGTGCTCTCTCTCTGTCCCTTGCGTTCTGATGGATGCCCTATCCCCAATAAAGCCTTATCACTCTACTGTCTCACGCCTGAATTCTTTCTTGCGTGAAGACAAGAACCCACGGCTTCCACGGCCTTCCCTCTGGTAACATATCCATGTGTGCATGTGTGTGTTCATGTGTAAAGTGCATGTGTGTGATATATAGGAAATGTTCATGTATATACTAACACATATGTTTAACTTAGTTTCTATGTACCTTACTGCATTCAGAGTTTTTATAAGAAAGGGAATATACTCATATATTGTTTCTTGCTTTTACCATGTCACACACAGCTTAAAGAACTTTGCATATCATCTACCAACAGACTCCACACTTCTTTTAGCTATAATAATATTCCATCAAATATTTGTAAAGTAAAATCTCACTAAGAGGACATGAGAATATTCGCATCATAACATATGCATCAGCAATCAGTGAATTTTGGCAATTTGCCATGGAAATGCCAGGCTCTCATGATATTCTGGTTGACATTCTTTTAGTTTTGTATAAACACTTCTTTATAGGCACACTGCCATTTATACCTCTCTCTCTCGTTCTCCTGCCCTGTATTCGTCTCAGAAGCAGCTTATTTCTTACAGATCAAAGCCTCCATCTAAACTAAAATGCTGGACACTTTTGGAGATGGGAAGGACTCCAGGCGTTTTCCTGAGAACAGCTTTTAGGGATGACTCTAAGCATGGCCACCTGAAGAAGTCAGGTAGACAAAGAAATTCTTGGATTGTTGCTATGGAATAGGAGCACAGTTCACACGTTCTAAGAGTACTGCTCTAAGTCTCAGCGGCTGGGCTCCCTGCCCTGGATCCACACTTCAGAGTCTCTTTCTGGCTCTCTCACTCATGAGCCTTCCCACAGGATGACGAGCCCATAGCTCCAATGCACAGGCCCAGAGCTCTTGTCATCCTCATTCCAGGACCTCAGAAATCCTTGCCCAAATGGCCTGAGACCATTGCACTGTGTCCATTCTCCTGAGGACCCACTTGGCCAACGCTGCTCATCTCTAACCTTCAAAGGCCAATAAAGGGGAAATTCAACATTTTGAGAAATCTCCCAGAAGTTCAAGGTGCTACAACCAACTAATCTTTGACAAATGTGCTAAAAATATTCCTTGGAGAAAGAAATAACCACACTACTTATTATTCAATAAATAATAGCACCATTTAGATTAAATGATGTGGAGAAAATAGGTTCTCCACCTGCAGAAATTTCAAATGAGACCCTTGCTTTATGCCCTATTTAAAAATCAACTTAAAGTGGTTCAAGGATCTAAACGTAAAGAATTTTTCTTTTTGTTTGAGAAAAGAAAAAATGGCGTGAAATCAGACTATGTGGCCAGCAGGGGGCACTAGTGAGTCAGCCAGCCAGTCACTGCTCATAAAGAGGATTATGGTGTCATAGAGGCAGGGAATCTCATCACCTTGGCGCCAGGAGGGTGGGGGTGGGGCGCAGCTGGCTCAGAAGCCTTTGGCTGCTGATAGTCATGGGCTCACTAGGCTGCTGAGGAGGATTGGTCATCACATCTGCTGGAAACAGTCAAAGGCGGGCAGCGTCTGTGAGGAGCCAAACATGGGAATTGCGAACTGAGAAGAGTCTGAAAAGCAGTGTGTGGCCAGATCAGGTGACAGTGAGAAGCCATGTCCTCCGGGTCCCCTCCCCTTGTCCTGTTCCTTTCCTGGGCGGCATTATGCAGTGCGTTAGACGTCAGAGCGCGGCAGGCAGGAGAGCAAAGACGCTGTGCTCCCGAAATTATCAAGCAAGAGGCACGGTCAGACAATGAGGGAAATCAGAGTTACTATAGAAGTGTACATATTTACACATTGAGTACAGGGAGCTTCAAGAAAGAGTATTGGGGCCTGAGTCTCTGGGTCAAGGGCCTTTCCCTCAAGGGAGCGATGTCTAAGCAGAGACTTCAGATTTGAATCATATGCAGTGAGGGTGTGGGGCGTTCAAAGATTCAGTAAGAGGTGAGCGTAATTCAGCAGGGACCTGCTGCGACCCGGCTGCTGTAAGAGCGATCAGCAGCTGGAGCTGAGGCTGAGCTGGGAGGCAGAGGTCAAAGACAGGGCAGCCTAACCAGACACTGCTGCACTGGAAGTTGGTCCTATGTGGGTCCACACTGGAGCAGAGCAGTAAGCAGGCCTACGAAGGTGGCCCTAGCACTGTGCCACAGGTGTTCCATGACATGATTTGGCAGATTTCTCGGGGCAGGCTGTTGGGCACCAGGTCGGGGAGGAAAGCACATGGATCTTGGGAAGAAGCTTGTTCTAAGAAGAACTGTATTGTAGGAAGCAAGTTGGCCCAGGATGCAGGTTCACTGGGTGAGAACTAGGATTGTGAAAGTGGGAGGGTTAACTACCCCTGAACTCAAGGATGGGCACCATGAGGAGCCAGGCGAGAAAGGATCTTCCAGAATAAAGGGGCACAGACACAGTCTATCCAGTAGCAGGGCGCAGTGGTGGCAGTGCTGGCCCGGGAAACAGGACTTGTGTGGGGGATGGAGAGGCTATTGAACGCCCTGCCATAGCCCTCCCCATGCTGCCGTGGGCACAGCCTGCTTTACACAGTTGACAAGGCACGACCTCTGCGTTCAGGATCTGTTTCCAGGATCTGGCCACAGAGGGCGTGCAGCAAGGATGGGAGCAGCAAAGGAAGTCCCTGGACAGGAGCTCTGGGGGCTCTGATGTCTCCACAGCCTCTGGTCCTGGGATGAAAATAGCTTCTGTAGAAACAGCCCAACCCACCGTGGGAAGGAGGGATCCTAACCTGCTGGAACCCCACATGACAAGAGGTTCTTCACTGTCAGTTCAGGGCACTGAACTTTAGGGTAGACACAGGTAAACCATAGACATAGAGGAGGAGAGAAAAGCACGGATAGAATGAAAGACTAGAGAGCAGAGAGAAAAAATAGTGAAGGGGGCAAAGACAAAGAACAGCCACAGAAAATAAAAATAGAAAGGACTTGCTCCTTCCCTCCTCTTAGAGCCTGGTCTTAGATCTGGCTCCTAAGGGAGTAGATTCAGACAATAACATGACAGAGACAGATACGGGGTCCGCTGAACACACCCACACACCCAAACACAGCCATTTGGGGTGGCCAGGGTGCCCAAGCACCGCGCACACACACAGACACCCTATGCAATAGCCTTGAACCTCACAAAGGCCGCTGAAAGCGAGGCACTCACAGCCTTCTCTCTCCCCTTCGCCCTGGTTTCAGGTTGACCTGACTTTCCCCTGCTCCTGTGTGTCTTGCCAGGCTCAGCTCTTCCTTCCTGTCCTTTCCTGGGCAAATCAGGGCATCTCGGGGTGGATCTGCCCCTCAGCCTCTGGGCAGCTCCCTTGACTTGGGAGCGGGAACTGTGTGTTGTGCCCCTGCCCCTCCTCTTACGAGTCCTGTGCCAGTGTTTCCCTCTTGAAACACAAGCAAAAGCCTCTTTCTGAAAGACAGGCGAATCCTGAACACCAGGCACACTCAGAGTCATGGGAAATTAAAGCCCAGGAATCCCATGTCCCAGGAAGTAACTTTCTCCTCTTAGCTGGGAGCTACCCATGGCCAGGAGCTTGGCATGTGAAAGGATTAGGCCTGCTGGCAGGGGTCTTGCCATAGGACTCTCCTTCCTACATTTCTTTCCCTCCTGCAGCTTTTGTTTAGGTCTTAATGGGGTTAGCTCCACCTACTCCTCAGACAGCACCAAGGCAAGGCCCCTGGATATGTGTCAGGGCCTCTTCCCACAGAGAAAGCCCGAGATGAGGCTCTGGTTGTGATTGTTCAGAGTTGAGACAGGGAAAGGCTGGGCTGGGGCTGGGCCACAACTTGTCAGTCTTACAGTCACTGTCTCCAGTGGGTGGAGGCACCAGCCACGCCTGGCTCAAGGGAACCCAGTCCACACAGCATGAACTGGATTTATATGAATCCCCAGATGAAAGAGACTTGAGTCTCAGAGCCTGACACCCATCATCCAGGACAGCCAAGGCCCTGGGTCTGCTCCAGCGTCATGGGGGTGGTTCTGAGAGCAAGAGTGGCATGTGACAGGTGTCCTGCAGCACCCATCCAACCTCAGGGGGGAGCTATCAGCTTTCTGGGGAGATTTTGGTGTGAGGAGGGGTTTACTGTTCCTCTCCCTGGGAGTGTCCTCAGCTACAGGACACAGACATGAATAGAATAGACAGGAGATACGCCACATGGTGTGTTTGGCGTAGGCATGGCTGAAGGCCAGGGAGGAGACAACAGCAGTTGATCCACTGGCCGGAGAGACAGAGGCCAGAACAGAGGACGCACCTTGCATGAGTCCTCCATACTTGCCCTCATTCTAAAGCCCGGTAAGCAAGTATAAATAATCCCAGTTTGATCCTGCTTGACAATCACTGTCACAAACCCAAAGTTCTTGCTGTGCATGGACAGAGTATACACACCTGCACCCCCCCACACACACACACAGACAGGAGTATGTGGTTACGTGAGTGATTAGTGGAAAGCCCACAGCAATAAGCAGTATAGTTTTATAAAGTAGTTTGGGTTAAAGACTTTTCTCAAAAGTCCTGTGGGTTTCAGAGGCTAGAGGGTGGTAACACTTCCCGCCAGCAGTTGTCACTCGAATTCCCACACCCATCTTTCTCCACCCAGGTGACAGGGCTCTGACAAGACTGGCACCTCCAGCACAGGGTATGTGGCCCTGTGGGGTGATCCCCCGGTAGATGTTACAGCATCATTCACCACCACTGCCACCCCACCACACACACACACATATCTCCCCTAAGTGTGGATCGTTAACAGGAAAATGGCATGGAGAAATTATTGTTGCCTCAGTTCTTTGTCTCACATGGAAGAAGAATTCCCAAGTGGACGGCAGAGAGATTTAAAAGTATTTATTAGAATCAAGGACCTCCAGCCAGAGTGGCATGGGGGGGCATCCAAGAGAGGAAAACCCCAAGGGGACTGGTGGCAGTCAGCCTTAAGTACAATTTTGAAGGGGAAAAAAAAAAAAACTTGATGATTAGATTGGCATTCAGTTAGCAGGCGGGGACAAAAAACCATCCAAAGACCTCATTTACAATTCTCCATCCTGTCTGGCCTGCTAAGGGTGGGGTAAATAACTTGTTTTCACAGTAAGCTGTGAGCTCTGGAGGAGCTCCCTTGCTCTTCCATGGTAAATTTGGAGAGTCCGAAGGAAGGAGGGCAGCCTGCTTGTTCTTGCTAAAGATAAAGTTGTGAGGAAGAAAACAAGTATTTTACACTCCAAATTCCACTGGGATCCCCTGACTATTAAACCATCTGACTCCTCACAGGATGACCAACCTTGTCCCTGCCCACATGCCCATGGATCCTGGCCACTTGTAGGCCCTCTGCTCTGCTCTGGGGTCGTGAGTGACATTCAAACTTTCACAGAAGCCATAGAGGGCCTTTTCCATTGGCCTGTATCTAGGAACCTTCCAGGGAGAACCTGAGTTTCTGGGGCAGGAGAGGGATGGGTTGATAGAAGCAAAGAAAGGGTGGTTTTGTGTTTCTCCTACTCCTACAAGAAATCAAGCAGTTATAAAAGTGAAGAGCAGTTCACTTTGAGAACACCCACTGGTTCCGGCTCCCCACTCCTCACCCCTGCCAGCTGCTGCTTTGTAGAGGAAGAGAGAAAAGCTGAGAGGTGGAGAGCTGCCTGTGCCCACCTGGAATCGAGCCTGGAGCTCAGGCACCACAATGTTAAGAGCAAGGTCCTTCCCATCTCATCCTGCTGCAGCCACACCAGCCACAGCAAACTTCTCCTGCGCTGAGTGGCGTGGGGTGAGACAGGGCATTCCGGAAGGGTGCACCGGTTGGTCACCCAAAATACAAGAATCCTGTTGCGCCTGGGTCCTGAGTGCCACATTGGAGACCAGAACAAGCATGTGCCCTGGTGTGGGACAGACTGGCTTGAATCCACTTGCAAGCAACTGAAATAGGTTTCCAAAGCTCACTGTCCTCACTAGCGAAGCGTGTTGAAAATGCCTGCCTCTTAACTGGCCATGATTATTATACAAAGATGACCTTTGTGACGTGCCTGACACTTGACTCAGAATCAGGCTACTGAGGGTCACACTCATTCCTTACTAGCTGAGACACCTTAGGCAAATCCCTTCCATACACTGGTCTTTCAATGCCTTGTCTGGAAATGGGTTTGTAGTGAAGAACAAACATTGACTCACTTGAAGGCACAGACTCATGGGGCTGACTGAACCACGTGAAGGGCCCAGCTCTACTTGTCGTGACCTGGTCTGAGTCAGTACCCTCCAGATGGATGCAAGTGGGTATCCAAGGAGGACATGAAAGCAGGTCCCCAGTTCTCTTGCTAACAAGGAAATTCTTTTCTTTCTTTCTAGGACCTCCAAATCTCTGAAGATGTGTGACCAACCGAAATGCAACGCCTGCTGCCCATCCAAGCCCCCCTGCTGCCCATCCAAGCCCCCCTGCTGCCCATCCAAGCCCCCCTGCTGCACCCAGGCCAAGTGCTGCTGTTTGGAGGCCAAGCCTGAGTGCACATGCCTGAGCAAGGACTCCGAACCCGCATCACCTCCCACGCAGGAGAAGAGCTCCCAAACCCAGCAGCAGCCCCAAAGTCCACCAGCTGCCAACAGGCCGGCCGCCGCGGGCCAGAAGAAGCCAAACAAGTAGCTTGCCTTTGGGGCCATGTCCACCTCATCGCGGGGTAGGGTTCCTGAGGGCCAGGCCTGATCTAGGTTTAGGAAAGCTCTTTCCTCACAGACCACCGTTTCCACCCAATTAGAAGCCCCCATGTCTCTTCACGGCCCCCTCCCCTAGGGAGGTCCCCCCAACTGGAAATGGAAGGCTGAAGAGTTTAGAATGACCTCTCTTAGTGATCCTGACGTTTCAACAGCACCGAAATAAAGCGCAATACAAAGAACACTGCCTCTCTCTGCTCCTTGCCTTACCTGTGAAGCCCCCGCAACACTCTGGCCAAAAGTCCAAGACAGTGTTCTGAGCATGTCCTCAAGGACCAAGGGGCGAGAGAGCTATCGTCCTGGAACACAGGCCTCTGCCGAGCCAGAGTCAGAGAGCCAGACTCATCTTGGTTTTAAATTTAAAGTCCTGTATTCCAGGAAGCCCAAGTGTAAGAAGCCCAATGCTCTTGGGTCCCTGTGGGTCGTATTTGACTCCAGACCAAGCAATGA